ACGAATCAACTCAAGAATCTTAATGCATATCGTATAGCAATTCAATAATTAGGAATATAATTTCAAAAAGAATAAGGAACTCAAGAACTCAAATCTCATCTAAAAAATACTCAAATCTAGGGATAAAATCTTAGATTACTCTTTTACTAATTTGAAAGTAGATGTATGGCGTCAGGACAAACTAGTCCAACACTATGATAGCCTGAATGAACAAGGTTCTTGCAGAATCTTGAAGAAAAACTTGATTAGAAGACTTGAACCCCTAGCTTGAAGGAGAACAATCAAGAAAACCTTTCTTCAGATTCTTGAATTAGTTTCTTGAAATCTCTACGGCCAAGAATTATGATTTTTATTAGTGATTCATAATTGTATGGAGGAATTTGAATTTGGAAAGAATGAAATTCTTGGAGAAGGACTTACCTTGAAGAAGAATCTTGAAAAAGATTGAAAGAATTTTGAATGGAAGTCTTCTACTTTGATTTTTCCTTAGGGTTTGAGAGAGAAGAGAATGGGGGATTAAGAGATATACATCTGATTATTTTGGGTCTTTAATTAGTCAAGAAATTCATTTAGGGTTTTCTTAGAGGTAAAACGACAAAAATGACCCTTTTTAATATTTTCTCGTCCGCTAATTCGTTACTACACTGTATCATGTTACTAAAATGGTCATAACTTTTTACTCAAAACTCAGATTGTTGCAAAATTGGTGGCGTTAGAAAGAAGATTAAAATATCTTTAATTTGATAGGCTATGGGTCACGTAAATCTTTATATTCTAAGAGATATAGTCAATTGAAGTTGATCCAAGTAAAACCTTACATCAAAACTTAATCGGTATGGAAGCTTTGAACTCAACTTTGTGCTAAGGGATTCTAGTGACCTTAATTTAAAATCAAATTCATTCCCACACTAAAAAATTGAACTTTACACATATGAGCAATTTAAGAATCACCCGGTATGGTCATATTCACAAATGAAGATTGGTTTAAGTCTTAACTTAAAAATTTTCAGGGTGTTATAATATCTCCCCCTTGGAATCATTCGTCCTCGAATGACAGCTAGACCGAGAATGGAAAGGAAAGGAGTTACTCTTACTATCTTTCTGACTTCTGAACTTGCCCACTAAGATAGGTGGAACTGATTCATACTAAGAGTTTGGAACTGTCTATAGCACATAAGTCAAGAACGATATTATTTTGAACATAGTCACGCTCTATCTGAAGTTATCTTATATAAATCAAAGGAACCTGGGCATGAAGTAAAAATAGAGCTAATATGCCTTAAGCGATAGACTGATAGCTTTGAAGCTTAGAAACACTTCTCAAATATGCACTTCTTTCTTATTACCACACTTCATTGGCTGCAACTTATAGCCCCCACAAGGGTATATGACTACTCTTACCAAGGTCTGTCTTTATTTGTATGCCCTTACTATATTCCAGCCTAACTCAAAATCACAAAGTACTTAACATAAGGTGATTATTCTAATCTAAATCACAAGATTCGGGTTTTATACTTCTATAGGAAATCTCACCCCCATAATACTTCTCCTTATAATCGCATTCAACCAACCTTGAGCCTAAATCAATAAACACCTAATGGATCATGCATTTGTCCATATGTTAACAACACCACATTCAAGCCTAGTAATATAATCACTCAGTGGACTCCTACTAACCAATCCTTCTAAAAGTTTCTCATTCTCTCACCATCTCCACCAACTGAAAAATTCACGCATTACTATCAAGAACTAACTAACTTCTTTAACCTAACTATTGCTCATAGTAAAACATCATTCATCCTTCCCCTACTATTATATATAACCTTAGATGGAATAAGCACACTACTGCTACCAACATAAGAAACATCAACATTCCCCTTCTATCATCACTCAACCACTGTCATCAACATCACTCTCAAACTAAAAAGGATCACCGAAAGATCTTTAGGGTGAAAGATCATAAGCACGATTCATTTGAGAACTCTGATATAAGAATACGAATGACGTAACATTATATTGTTAGCTATTGAGAGTAAATCATGAATTTGTGATACTGAGCATACTATGAGACATGGGTGTTTATATGCATAGGTTCATATCATGAGGCTGGTATTCATAACTTTATGGAGTAAGATTGAGATCAATGGGCTAAAGTCTTTGCCCCTCATTCTAGGAATTGAGTGTAGATGTGAATCTATCTAAAGTGTATGGGCATAGGTCATAGACACAATTCTGATATCAGAAACATCAACATAATGTTGTAATGACTAAACTTTGAGGAATACACTAGAATATGAATGGGTTGATATAACACTATAACTCTTTCTGAACACATCATTATCATCAGATTCTTAATACTGGACTTGGTTTCTCATCTTATCAACTTCCCCTTAGGTCTGAAGCTGATACTTTAAAGTTATGGATCTATTCCATCTTTTTTAAACTACTCTATATTCAATTTACTCTAATACTCGGGAAAAGATTATCTCATAGCTAGTGAAATCTCCATAACCAGGTACTAAGACTCCTTCTAAGACCTCTTTCTAAGATGCTTCTATTATCCTCTTCTCATTGACTTATAAGGTTGTTTCATCTAACTCTTAAGGAAAACAAATAATGCTTACATCAGCCTATTCCATATTGACAGCTTAAATATACTATCTAGGCACACATGGAAAATCATTAACTTACTTGGAACCTTATCCGACTACATGCGATCTCGGGTACACCCCTTAAAGCTCTTGCTAATATAATGACTTAGCCTCGCTCATTGCTCTCATCTAAAAGTTAAGATCTCTTACTTGTACCACTCAAATTCATTGCAGTTAACATCTCAATTCCTCACCTACTCTATGTCAAGTCTACTAGATTAGATCTCAAACTAACATCATCACCCTCATGATGTCATTCTTTTGATCACGACACTCATCTCAAATTCAAGATTAATGTTTATTACTAAACCCGGATATCAATATGATTGTTCGCTTACTATACTAACTTACCACTACTAGATAAAAATTAAGAAACACTCGCCCACTAAAACCTCGTGAAAATTAGTCAATATTTATCTCTTAGTCTTCATACTTACAATTTACCATTACACTTCCTTTCACAACTTAAGTACTATTTACTCATTCACTATGCATCATTGCCTAACTAGTTCTATAACCCTCTGAATATTATGGGCTCTCCCTTAAAAATCATAAGCCTAGCTTAGAGCTATCAGCTCATGAATACTCTGCTCTTTTATTCTACACATATACTTGGCCTTCACTAACACAATGTTACATTGACATAAACTTCTTTCTGGTTAACGTATACTCTAATTCATTCATACTAGTAACTCTTACTCTAGCTTCTATCATGAAATCTTCACAAACTCATCACTTCTTAGTCTATCCATAAAGGAAAACTCCTCATTAATGTATCCATCTTGAAAGGAAAGTCAGATTCTTTGAAACTGACATCCTTGTTAACAAAAAATGTTGTCATCCAGATCATACAACATGTAGCTTTTTTGAGTCTCAGAATAACCAATCATAACAACCATTCTTACCCTTGCAACAAACTTATCACCTCTAGGTAGTTTGCTAACATAACATAGACAGCCAAATGCCCTTAGGTGATCAAGGTTGGCCTCCGTAACATATAAAAGTGCATAAGGTGTCTTACCTTTGAACATTTGAGAAGGTAGTCTATTGATCAAGTAAACTGAGTCCTGACACAGTCACCCCAAAAACTGATGGGCACTTCACATTGGAATTTCAAGGCTCGAACCACTTCCAAGATGTGCCTATGCTTTCTTTCCACTGTACCATGCTGTTGAAGGGAGTAAGGACAACTACTTTGATGGACTATGCCACGAGAACCTAACATGTGCTCACACTGGGAATTAAAGAATTCAGTCCCATTGTCAGAACTCAAAGTTTTGACACAAGTACCAAATTGAGTCTGAATCAAGCACATTTTTTTTCAATACAGTAGTAACTTCACATTTAGATTGTACCAAACAAACCCAAGTATATTTGTTGTAATTATCAACTGTAGTAAAAAATAATAATATTTCTTATCATAGATAGGCCTTCTATAAGGTCCCCATAAATCTACATGTAACAGATCAAAACATGCAGTTGTTTTACTACAACTGGTTGGAAAGCTTAACCTATGATGCCTAGCTAGAGGACATATGTGACATTTGTCTTGTAGTTTGGTGGTTACACATTTATTAAGAGAGGGTATATGTTGTATAACAGTTATGGGAGGGTGACCTAATCTGAGGTGCCAAAGTACTCCTTCTGCATAGAGCTTGAGACTAGCAACATTGATAGTTGGAGTAATCTTCTCCCGTAAGAGATATAGACCTTCCTTTTCTCTACCAATCCCCAAGACCTTGCCATTGTAAAGTCCCTGAAAGACACAAAAATCATGGAAAAATAGAACAACATATGACAAGTCCGTGGTTATCTTAGACACTGAGAGAAGATTGAACTTGAAATCAGGAACATGAAGGACATTCTAAATCTTAGAAGTCCCAAAAATAGAAGCATCCCCTGCACTTGTGGTCTGTGATCTACACCCAGTTGTCACTTGAACTTTATCACTAAGGTGATTTTCAAGTTTCCTAATGTCAATAACAACTCTCTACAAGGTTTAATTTGATGAGAAGATCCAGAGTCAACAATCCACTCATAAGTAAAAATATTGGATAACAATGAATGTATACCTGCCATGTTAGATACACATTCACTAATGGTGGTAGGGTGATCTTGTTTGCCAAGCAGTTCCTGATACTGTTGCTCTGTGAGAAAGTAACCCGATCCATGACTGGGATGGTATGGTCTTGAACTTTGCAGATTGTTTGGTTTTGCATTGGAGCTAGAGTTGGCTATTGATTTGAACTGTGTAAGTGGTGTCTGATGTGCCTGCTGGGAGGACTTCCTCCTGCTCTTGAAGTCCTGAGGATAGCGGACTACTCTATAGCAATAATCCTTCAGATGAACTTAGTAACCACAGTGAATGCAAGGAGTTCCTCCACCTATAGCTCCTATAGATCCTCCAGAGTTTCCCTGCTTCTTTGGTCTGTAACCTTGAGTAGTCCTACCAGCCAACATTGTCAAGGGATCCTTGTAAACATCAACTACACTCAATGATATTTTTCCCTCCTCTTGAGTCATGATAGCATAGGCTTCATTCACTGTTACATTTGCATTTCTAGAGAGAATGCTGGTCCTCGGGCTGCAGTAATTCTCATTGAGTCCCATAAGGAACTGCAACAATCGTTGTGATTTCAGATTGTCTACATAGAGATTAGACTCTTCACAGTCACAGGAAGGTAGTGGAACATGACATCAATTTCATTCCATAGATCCTTCATCTTTGAGTAATAACATGTCACAAAGTCAGTTCCCTGTTTCAAATTTGCAATTTCAGTCCACAGATAGTAGATCCTAGTCAAATTCGATCGGTCAAATTGCTCCTTGAATTCTTCCTAGACCTTCCTAGCAGTCGAAGCATAAACTATGCTAGGAACCAATTCAACATAAACAATGCTACCAATCCAGGATAACACGATCACATTGCATTTTCCCCATAATTCCTCCAGTTCTCCTCTAAATTTGCTCTTAGGGCAAGTACCATCTAAAAACCCAAGCTTATACCTTTCCCTTGCAGAGCTAGTTTCATCGATCTACTCCACAGGGAGTAATTATCTGGTCCTGTGAGTTTAATCGGATTTATTACCAGTCCTAGAGAATCAGAAGCTTGAAGGTATAAAGAGTGATAATGATCAAGTGCTGATGTAGCTGGAGCTGCCATGGATGCAGTAGGTTGGTCCTCTTGCATCTCTGCACCTATTGAATAGTTGCGATGAACTCAAAACTCTATGCACAGCTGGAGGTTATATCGCTACTTTGATACCATATCAATTTTGTGTTTATCTCACAGCACATACATCCGCCATTGATGTGGATTTCTAAGCTTACAGAGGAAATGGAGAAGGAAATGAGAGAAACTGTTTTATTGGATCTGAAAATCATAATTGCAATTACATGTGCTTTTGTACTTATAGAATTAGTTGTTAGCTGTTCGTTGGATCCAGCTGGCAATGATTGTAATTAACCAACTAATCTGTAACTAACTAACTAATTGATTCTCCTAGAAACAGTTAATTCAATAGGCTACATAACTTAAATCTTAAATTAAATAACTCTCCCGAGAGTTCCAGAAATGCCTATTTACAAGGTTTGCAGTACAAACAATTACCAAATAAGCACAATAAACCAGCCTATATAACCTTGAAACATAATAAACACAACCACGATCGTTGAGTTGAGCTAAAATTAATTTTGATGATTGACAAATAACTATAGAAAAATCAAATCATTTGGAAATATTGATTATATTTCTGAATAATAGATTGCAGACATTGAATGATCTAATTCCTTAGAGAATTAATATTGTTGATCAGAAGTTGCTATGCAGATTCCAAGTACAAGAAGAATTCCTTGAGGATCAAGAAATGCATCAGTGAACAAAGAAAATACGTGCATCAAGGAATATATTAGTAAACAAAGAAATTTTCTTACACTTTCATGAAAGGAAAGTAGGATAAAATGTGTAGAGGTCGAAACCAAGTTCTACTGGGATTAGATTCCTTCACCAAAGTATGGAAGATGTCATCCATCACCACTCTTATATAACTCACAACATTGATGTTATTGAGGCTTACTCGATTCACACGAATACAACGCTATTCTTGGCAAATAAGAGTGGTTGTGAGGAGTGCATAATATTGAGTGATTCAAACTGATCAACGAGAGAACCTATTCCAGAGGAAGTTACCACTTAGTTCTTGAGTTGGTTAGGTTTGAGTATTTTTTGATTTTTTATTTTAACCTATTTGCTTTCTAGAAGTATTGTAATAGGTGAGAACTCTTTCAAATATGAACTCACTCTATTTGATTGTCAGGGCTGTCTTAACCCCTAGGCCACTAAAGTCATCGCTTAGGGCTCATATATTTTGGGCCCCCTATTTTAAAAAAAACAATTACTTATATATGTTTTTCTTATATATATATGTAGTGTTATGATTTCTACTAAGAAAATTGCATATGAGATGAAAATAAATCTGAATTTCGTAAGAAACAATTTGATTTGAACCGGCCAATTGAAGCATATGAAAATATTTTGGGTTTCTTATTTAGTGGTAAAATATTGAGATCACTAGATGATGAGAATTTAAAAAGTATTGTCTTAACCTTGAAATTGATGGTTTAGATTTATTTTTTGAATTAGTGTTAAGTGAAATGATACAAGTAGAAGATAGTGATTTAAAGAAAATACTCAATCAAATAAAAAGACTTGATTCTTTTCCAAATACACATATATTGCTTATAGAATAATGTTAACAGTTCCTATAACCGTTGCCTCAGCCTAAAGAAGTTTTTTTGAAATTAAAATTGATTAAATCTTCTTTAAGATCAACAATGTCTCAAGAGATATTGAATGAATTAGCAATATTATAATTTGAAAATGAATTATTAAAAAACAAATTGATTATAAAACAGTACCTAATGACTTTGCATCTAAAATAGCTAGAAAACTAGATTTTAAATAAAAGTATATATGATGAAAAAAGCTATTAGGCCCCTCTCTTAAGTTTTGCTTTAGGCCTCCACTGTTGTTGAGTTGGCCCTATTGATTGTGTGCTGCTTGTAACTCTTTGTGTAAGTGTGCAAGGTTTTTTGTGAAAACTCTATTGTATTTATAGATGTGAGACTTCTCGTTCTTTGAGTTAGAGTCCGTCTTTCTAAGGATTCCTTTTCCTTTTAGGATTTTGTTTGCGGCTTTGACTTGAGATTTCTTTCCATGTAGGGATCCTCTATGAAAGGAAACTTTATGCAACTGGATTCTTTTCATAATTGCAACCCATCCACCGCCTTATAACTTCTGCTTTGCGTGGTTGTCCTTCTCCTAATCCCACTCTGACTCGGTGTGACAGGAACATGTTGACGCAAACAGTTCCTTTCATATGTTCCCCTATTTATCAATCATCAAAAAATTTCTTGATCTAACAATCTTCATCAACACGTTTTCTTTTGACATTTCTCAGAGACATTCGTACAAACAAAAAATAGAGTTATATGTTTAAATTATGAGACATTATGTGGAAAACTAACAAGGTATTTCAGGGAGAAAATATTGATCAAGAGGAGAATCTTAGATAGAGATATTAGGAAAGGGACTTACACAAACATTTCTACATATAAGTATTTAATTTTCTTCAATTTCACTTTGGTTCTTGTTTTGATTACAAAAATCATTATATTTGTCTTGAATTTCTTAATTGATTTTGGTCAAAGTATCAAAAATTAGTTGACTGTTCCAGTATGGAATCCATACCCACACTCACGTCTACACTCATGTTGTATTGACACGGATGCGGCATCGAATCTGAATGACTTAGGTAACAATATAGTTATGTGAGTGAAAATACCTTAGGGGAATAAATACTCACGCACTATGACTGAATAATCCTTAATCATCTATTTATATATGACTAATGACACATGTGAAATCTTTTACGGTACTTTGAAAAGCTAATCCAAAGACTTATAGACTCACGTGATAGATTTTCTTATTGCCTTTTTCGAATAATTATCTTTTTATGTCAGTATGATCATTAATTAGTCATACTTAGGTATGTCAAAATGAGTCTGGTCAATTTGTTCAGAATTTTATGGATTGATCTTAAGATAATTTGAATTGGATTCATCTCAACTCATTCAATTTTTCAAGTTTGAATCCATTTTAAAAAAAATTTCAATTGAGCCCAATTTAATCTTCAATTTCAACCCATTTTAATATCCTTTATTTGCATTATTGTAATGTATGCCTCCATTTCTATTTCAAGATATTTTAATATCTCCAATTTCAAACCCAATGTTATTTCTATTTCGATCCATTTTAATATCTTTAATTTCAACTCAACCATTTATTTGACATAATTATTGACTATTTGCAAATTGTACATATGACCTTTCTGAGCATGAATTACTTGTGCCACAAGATAACTTATTTGGTGTACAATTTTGCAGATTCCATCAGCAGAAATATGAATGAGAGAGATGTGATCCCCAATCCTACTCTCAGCTTCTCTAAGAGTACTTACAACTTCGTCCTCAAGGTATGGCATAGATAGTAAACAATCAGCTCTGTAGTTACTTAAAATCTGAACTTTAAGCCGCTGTTCTCATTTCCTTGCTGTCCCATCATGTAAAAGGTACGTTGTTAGAGTGAGTGTACTTTACATAAAGTAAAGGCTCTAAGTTCTGCTCCTTTGACTGATTGTTCGCATCGGATCTCAGGTTCTCTATTGCTCAATGATATTCCATGATCAAGACAATTGGTTAAATTCCGTGAAACCATTTCATAGAAGTTCATTGATATCTTTTTTTATAAAGCGAGACTGAGTAATACAGCTCCTACTTTCAGCTGGAATGAATTCTTCCAAAGTAAGTGAAGTTCTACAGTACTCCATGTTTCATCTTAGCATCTATTTGGAACCTATGAAAGTTTTCTTATATCTATGCTTCTATTGACTAAGCTTTCTGATATATGACATTGAATTTTAACAATGCAGTACTGTCGTTGTTGTATAGCTTCTTAGTTACATTTTTCCTTTATTGTTGTGATATCCTGTCATATTTCATCTGCGGTATTGTAAGTCCATTATCACATTCATTTTGGAAGTGAATCTTCAGTGTAACTAGGCAGTACTATTATATTTATGATAAAAGGGCTAATATGAACAAGTATAAGTGAACAAATATGTATCATCACAAAAGAGAAGCACCAAACTTAATATTTGATCTAACAAAAAAGCCAGTTCGTAGTTTGTTTACTCTGATCCAACAGCTTCAAAAGTAAACAAAAGAGGAACTGCTAACAATACTGATGATCAAAAATAAAATCTACACGAAGCTATAAGATATATCATGAGTAGATTCATTGTATACGAAAGGGTACTGATCCATAGGCTGCACTGTCGAACTTGAACCAATAGCATGAGTAGAGTCGTTGTACATGAAAGGGTACTGATTCATTGGCTGCATTGTCAAACTTGAACCAATTCCATTATTCCCCATAGGCTGCATTATCAAACTTGAACCAATTCCATTATTCCCCATAGGCTGCATTGTCGAACTTGAACCAATTCCATTATCCCCTATAGGCTGCATTGTCGAACTTGAAGCAATATCCCGAGTAGAGTCATTGTATATGAAAGGGTACTGATCCATAGGCTGCATTGTCAAACTTGAACCAATTCCATTATTCCCCATAGGCTGCATTGTCGAACTTGAACCAATTCCATTATCCCCTATAGGCTGCATTGTCGAACTTGAAGCAATATCCCGAGTAGAGTCATTGTATATGAAAGGGTACTGATCCATAGGCTGCATTGTCGAACTTGAACCAATTTCATCATTCCCCATATGCTGCATTGTCAAAGTTGAACCAATCTCATTATTCCCCATAAGTTGCATTGTCGAAGTTGAACCAATCCCATTATTCCCCATAGGCTGCATTGTTGAACTTGAACCAATTCCATTATTCCCCATAGGCTGCATTGTCGAAGTTGAACCAATCCCATTACTCCCCATAGGCTGCATTGTCGAACTTGAACCAATTCCAACATTTGCAGACCAGTTTTCAGCCTCAATCATCTTAGAATAATTTGCATTGCAAAATTGATAATCCTCGATAGTAAGAAGCCCATTATCCATCCCTGCTCCCATTGAATTCACACCACTAATTGGAATATTTGATTGAAAGAAGTTGTTGTAATCGGTGAAAGAATTCACATTAGAAATAGGCCACAGAGACAGAGTAGTTTGGTTCATCAAGTTGTTGTCCCATATTTGTTGATGAGAAACTGAGCAACTTCCAATATGAACATTCATGCTCTTCAACAATTCTATTTTTCCTTTTATCTTTTTCTCAACAACACCAGCAAGATTTTGCAATTCTTTTTCAGATAAATAGTCAAATCTTGAATCCCAAGTGGGATACTTTTCTACTTTGATCTCAACCTTCTTTTTTTCATCATTTTCGAAATAGTCAAATCTTGAATCCCAAGTGGGAGGATCCTTTTCTACTTTGATCCCAGCCCTTTTCTTTTCATCATTTTCGAAATAGTTGGACAAGGTCTTACCACATTTACTTCGGCCTTGGAATGGATGGTTTTTGTAGAGATTTATTAGCTCTGTAACTTCATTTGGATCATTCGGCCAGATTTGATGATTATTTCCTTCATGTATGATCATGCATGCTTTGATATCGCAAAGTATTGACAGTTCCGAAATTTTCTTGACTAAGCCAGTCTTCCGTGTCACTAAAGTTGTCATCCTCTTCTTGTAATCTTGAATAAGTTCCATTTTGATTTTTGCTCTTCCCATTTTATCTGCACTTCAAGAAAATACACATACATGTATGATTAATTCATACAAAACTTGAAGAACGTAACATGAATTCATATTATATTACTCCACCAAATAAAGTTCAAAGAAAAAAATAATGAATTTAGCAGATGAATCAAAGCTTCAAAATAGCAATAACATAACACTTAAAACAATGAAATATGGAAAAGAAAAGAAAATTACCAGGAGTTAATACTTGTTCTACAAGTATGGACAACTGTTGCCATTTATATATAACAAGTTTGACGCGTCCGATTCTTCTTTTTTAGAAACTATACTAATTATTATTATTACTATAATTATAACTACCTATTTCTTAAGGAATTGCTACTCAGTTTATAAAAATGTGTGAATACTTCTTCCACCGCTCTTCTTACCCTATTTTTATAGGAATTACAGTTTATAAAAATATTATTATTTGATTTTGTGTGTATGTGGTACTTGGCCTATTGATTTGAAGTTAAAATTTTTAATTTGAATTTCTTTTAAGTTATTTATTACTTTTTCTCATAAACATAGAAATCTCAGAATTTGTAGAAACTATCAAAACTTCTCCAACTCTTATACAATTTTACAAAATGAAACATAATTAATACTAATAATGTATCAAAATATCCTAATTAAGTTGTTGAATTAATAAATCACATATTTTTCATGTTCATTTTATAAGTATATATTTGGCTATGAACAGTTTCGGGAGAGGTAGAGGTAGACTGAAAAAATATTGGTGAAAAGCGATTAAACAAGATATGCATGTCGCAATTTCAACTTACCGACATGAATTAAGCTAGAAGGTTAGAAGGTAGCAGTGTGTTGTCTTGTTGTCCATTCATGTTATCACTCGTAGTATTGCTTTTGTAGTTTCTTACCCTTCTAATTTTATTACTATATATTGATTCCTTGTACCTTTACTCTTGTATTATTGTACAGTAGTTTTGGTTATGTTACTATCTGTTGTTTTTGTTATTAGCTAATGTTTTCTTGTACTTCTATTACTTCTTTTGTTGAAATGCTTTGGACTATTTATTCTTGAGACGAAGGTTTATTGGAAACAACTTCTCTATCTCTGAGAGAGAGGTGAAATCAGCTAACACTCTATCCTATCCAAACTTCACTTGGTGGGATTACACTTGACAAGTTGTTTGTTTATGAAATGTGAACATAAATTTTCAACTTCAATTTCAAATTATGATTTGAAATTCCAAATTCTCCAAAAAGTAGGATTTCAACCCCAGAAGTTAACTCATATAAACAGACCATTAGTCTATCCCTCAATTGGTTGGGACTCTAATAACTCTTAACATTTCTGAAACAAATCATCATGAATTAGATCACAACTTACTTGAATATAAAGTTTTTGCAAATTTGGGGCACTTAATAAGCAAGCAGATAAGAGCAAAATACAATGATTTTGAAGGCACAAGCTTGATTAATAGCTAAAAACTGAAATGTAAAGACATGTACAAGTATTTCAGAAGCACTAACCTGCAGAAACTTGCTCTTTTTCACTCATTTATTATACTTACTAAATTCATGTACATATACATTTATTACTCATTTACTAGTACTTTGCTACCCATCCATACATAGAGAATATTCATACATTCTTCATGAAATCAACTTCATTCTTTACTCAATCTGTTTCAATTTTTGTGAAGTTATTCTTTTTTTAAGTAATTCTCTATTCAAGGTATGCTTAGGGCTAGATTTTTATTAATAAATAAAAAAGGATCTCAAATAGAAAATTTCAAGTAAAGGGTGTTGGGTTCGAAAGTGATTAGGCATCATACGGAAGCTTACATTTGCAAATTATATGATGATAAATCAGATGACAAATAAAAGCATACTAATTACCAGATTATGAAGGAAGAAAAAATTAATGAATTTAGTAGATGAATCAAACCTTCAGAATTAACTAATGTGATTTAGTTGTATGCGAATAGCAATGAAATATGAAAAAGAAAAGAAAAGAAAAGAAAATCACCAGGAACTAATACTTGTTCTTGTATGGCCAACTGTTGCCATAATTATTATATATAATAAGTTTCACGCGTCGGTTTCTTTGTTTTTTAGAAATCATACTAATTATTATTATTATAAGAATGTTTGTAATATAATTATAATTATAATTACCTACTTTCTTAGGAATTACTAAATACTAAGTTTATAAAAATATGTGAATACTTCTTCCACCGCTTTACTTACCCTATTTTTATAGGAATTACTCAGTTTATAAAAATATTATTATTTGATTTTGTCTGTGTGGTACTTCGCCCATTGATTTGAAGTTAAAATTTTAATTTGAATTTCTTAAGTTACATATTATTTTTCCTCATAAATATAAAATCTCATGGTTTGTAGAAACTATCAAAACTTCTTCAACTCTTATACAATTTTACAAAATGATCGAAACGTAATTAATAATAATGTATCAAAATATCCTAAGTTGTTGAATTAATAAATCACATATTTTTATGTTTATTTATAAGTAAATACTTGACTATGAATGATTTTAGAAAAGGTAGAAATATATGGGAAATAAATTGTCTTGTTTCTTGTTTTAGTACTCCCTCTGTCTCTAATTACTTGTTCAATTTTTTTTTACTTGTCCATTTTGACAAATCAAGAAAGGACAATTTTTAGCTATTAACCCTTAATTAATTACTTTGAAAAATGTAGAACTTCTTGAAAATCTTAAATTTTTAATTCATTTACTTCATAATTAATAAAGATAAAATGGTAAACTTACTATGTCAATCATTTTAAAAAAAAATAGGCATGTCAATTCAAAAGTGGACATTTATTTATTACTCATGTAGTAGTACTTCGCTACCCATCCATGCATAGAGAATATTCTTATATTCTTCATGAAATCAACTTCATTCTTTACTCAAAACTGTTTCAATTTTTGTGAACATATTTTGTATGGACACAAAATTCCAAACGAAAATGAAGATTTTTAAATATGTCAAAATTTATATGTGGCTATAAAAACTTCTAAAAAATATGATCTTAAATATGACATCATATTTGTGTGATTATAATAATAATAATAATAAATTTAAATTAAATTATTTTCAAATTTAGAAAGAAATCATTCTTTTAAAATGAATTAAAGAGTAAATAGGTTCCCATACATTGAAACAGATGAGTATTGAAATTTGAACTCCCATGTCATATACATAATTGTACTTGTGTTCATGTTTTCACTCCATTTAAAATTCATTTATTAACGGTTTGTTAGAAAATCACCCATATTATTAGAGTTTGAGTTTTGTGCATCGTTAGTGTATCTTTTTTTACACTATCGGCTAATGTTGACTTGCTATGGCAAGTTACCAATTTATTTCTAATTAATTCTATTTTAGAAATTACATTTTTTCCTTTTCTTTCTTTCCTCTTAAGAGTTCATCGTCTTCCTCAATCTCTCAACTAGTACTTGTCCCATAAATCATTCACTATTTCCTTATCTCTCTTAATTAATCTCTTGAAATCTTAAATGGTGAATATCCAAATGATTTGATTTTTATCAATAAAATTGAAGTCAATTGACTCTACATCATCTCTTGTATTTTTTTTTTAAAAATAAATTATAACCGTATGATGGTGAGACCTTTATATTGATGAATAAAATTACAAGGCTAAGGAGAGTTTAAGCTCGGTCCATTGTTCCAATAGCTGCTTCGCCAAAACTAAGGTTCTAACAAAAACTATGCAAGTTTTGCACAAATTTACAAGTCCAGCGTGATAGACAAAATTAGCTATAACATCTCAACTGGATTAGCTCTATACAAAATAATTCTTCCTCTACTTATGCCTTAGGAACTCCATTTGTATGAGATCAAGTTTGTAAGGTCCGATGGCTATCGATGGTAGGTGAGCATATGCAAAAATATCCAACTTCTCATTTGTAATACTTCATTTCAAGGCATCTGCAATTGGTTGGCTTCCCTATAACAACGTTGCCCTCGCAAGTAATAGTACATGAACTATTTTGAATACCAGTAATGATATTATTCATTTGCCAAGGGATATTGTAATTATCTTTGATCATCTCAACAACTATCTTTGAATCACATTCTAAGGGCAATGTTTAGGAATGTGTATATATCTGAGTTCATCAGTTTTATTACTAGCGAGTAAGCTTCTATTTCGTCTTCGTCTGTACCTGAAATGCAGTAATGCGAGTTTTATAGTAAGTTAATACTAAATCATAAAGATCACTATGTCAACTGAGGCTTTGTGGCATTGTACTGCGTAAGTTGGGAGAGTTGGCAAAATAGCCACTCTAAAGACTTAATGTGACATTAAGGGGTCGTTTGGTGCAAATATTGATAATGCAGGGATTAGTAATGCAGAGATTAGTAACGCAAGGATTAGTAATGCATAGATTAATAATGCAAGAATTATTTTTTGTCAAGTGTTTGGTTCACTTCTTTCCACTTAATTTTGTGTTTGATTTAAAACTCTACAAAAAATTTCTTTCCTATTATACCCTTGTGTTATTATGAATGTTTATTTCATGTAATTGAGTCAAGGTAGATAACCGCCGGACCAGACTTTTTTTTTGTAGGATTTTCTATTCCATTTAATTAGTTTTTTTTTGTAGGATTTTCTATTCCATTTAATTAGTTAAATCAAATATATATATATATATATATATATATATATATATATATATATATATATATATCTGTGTGTGTGTGTGTGTGTGTGTACATAAAATTGTTATTAATTATAAGGTGTGATGTACTACTAAGAATTATGATCATTAATGGCACAATGTATTTCTATTTTTTTGTTGGTCAAGTATATCTCAATCTTAACATATATTTAAGACTATATAAATTGTTCAATACCTAAAGCTTTTTTTTTTTTAAAAAAAAATAACAAATAGTTCAAGCGGGTAATCGACAAACTATCTTGAATAAAAAAAAATTCAAGAAAAAATGGAGAAAAAAATATTAGTGAAATCATTAAATTACACCAAACGGATTGGAGAATTAAAAAAGAACATTTATAACCATTCCAATATAAATAAAAAGGAAATTAAATTACAAAATAAATTTAGGAAAAGGAATAAGGGGTTAGTTTAGTCATTTAGGGGGTCTTATCCAAGGTTTAACAAACTTTGGATTAGTTATCCCTCCATTTTCTAGGGATAAGATAAGACCGCATATGGTGGATAAGCAATCCATAGATTAAATTAAATGAAGTAACCAAATAATGTATTAGATGGACTAAATTTTAATCCATGGATTATTCTATCTAATACTGCCTACCAAACGGGTCCTAAGTCACAAGTCTTGAAAAATTAGTGGTATACCCACTAATAATGACATCATCCATGTGCCCTACTTGGGACATAAAAAACACTCTCCTAAGTTTCCATATCTCCACTTTGGTCACCCCTTCTGTTCCAACAAATATGGAATAATATATCTATTTCCAATGTTTAAAATTATTTTAGAAAAAGAAAAAGTCTCCAACAAGCAGCTCATTTTTGCTGCTATTTTTTTCGATTTCGGTGACTTTTCCAGCCATATTATCCACTTCAAAGGTAGAATCATCATCATCTCCTACTCCATTTTTACTTCATTTTCTTTCAAAAATCAAGCTTCAAAATGATTTTTCCGCCATTTTAGAAATTTGAGAAAACTTTCATAATCAGTTGATAACTCATTAGTAGATACATTTCTTTAGTTTAAAAGCATTAAAAAAACATTTCGCCATTGCAGGAGCTGAATTTTGCACCCCGATCTCATCTAGCAGCGTTTTTGTACGGATTTCGTACTTCATAGATCGTTAAAGACCGATACTGTAATCTAGTATCGATATTTGTAGTAGCTGAATTTGTTGTTGCTGGTGGAGATTATATGGGAGTATGGGAGGAGATTCACAAAAGCTGGAATTGGAAATCTTTTAGTAAGGCGATAGTGCCCAATGCGTTATGTCGCAATGGTCATATGACAATATAATTGCAAGCGTAATTGAGGTCGGTGAGTTAACTTGCGAGCCAAATGACTTGGTGATTTTCTATCAAATGAATGGGAGGGGAAAAATACATCCCACATTCATAAAAAAATGATCGCCACGTTAGCTTGTACATGTTAGATAGTGGTATTGATGGCTCTAGGCTTACATTGAGGATAAACGTCAATGCGAAGCCTCCAATTGAACCAACAAATTCATTTAACGACGACAATGATTCTATTGGAAATGAAAAATTGGGTGATCATTCAAAGGAGCTTGGGTGATCATTCAAATGAGAGTTTGGGTGATAATTCAATGAATATACACGATCATCCAATGAATGTGAAAAATCAGCTAGTAGATGCGGAAGATCCCGAACGCGAATGTTGTGAAGAAATGCAGGGAAAACATGAATTGAGATCACAATCCAACCATTCCTTCTCCGATGGAACTAATTTATGCATAAATCAAACTTTCATTAACAAGAATGAGTTGCAATTGTTATTAGCCGAAGTGGTGGCAAAGAAGTCTTTTGATTTTGCTACTTTGAGGAGTTGTACTAAATATTTAAAGGTGAAATGTGTATCTCACAACTGTGCATGGATGTTGCGGGCGAGGAAATATGAGTGTTCGGATAGATTTCGTATCTACAAGTACATTGGCGAGCATAGTTGTGGTGTTGAACATGCCAACAATAGCCATAGAAAAATCTCAATCAAAGTCATTGCTTCACTTTGTGTAAATATGTATCGTGATGGCAAGGGTCCAAATGTTAAAGAGATTAAAAAGGCTATGTTTAATTCTTTTCGTTGTAGTCCAAGCTATTAGAAATGTTGGAAGGGAGGTGTGGTTGCCAAGGAAATGGTTCGAGGGACAGCGGAGAACGGATATTCATGCTTACCGACTTTTTCCTACATGTTTGAGACACTTAATGTTTGTTCTAGCTATTCTATCATGGTAAACAAGGATAGTCATAAGTTCATGTATTATTTCTTGGCCTTTGGTGCTTGCATTAAGGGATTTGCCCATATGAGAAAGGTAATTGCGGTTGATCGCACTCATTTACATGGTAAATACGAGGGCGTGTTATTGGGTATTGTTGCACAAGATACAGAAAATCATGTCTATCCAATTTCTTTTAGTATCGTGGACAAAGAGAATGATGCATCTTGGACATTCTTCTTTGAGAAATTGAAGGAGATTGTGGTCGATGAACCAGGTTTGTGTTTTATCTCCGATAGACATAAAAGCATCGCCAACGGTATTGTGAACGTTTACAATCATGCTCACCACATATATTGTATGAGGCACCTCAGTGAAAATCTCCGTGTAAATCACCGTGTAAATCATCATTGTGGAGATTACCTTTATCTTTACTACAATGCGGCAAAGGCTTATTCCTTGGAGGAGTTTGACAATCATTTTGTAGAATTCAAGAACAAATGTTCTGCGGCAGCCGTCGTCCTTGAGTATGATAATGTTTTTGAGAAGTGGAGCAGGGCCCATTTTCCTGGCAATAGATATGATGTGATGACCACAAATATCGCCGAGTCACTCAATGTTATGTTGATAGACGAAATGGAGTATCCCGTGGCATCAATATTTAATTCGATTGCTAAGAGGTTTAGAGAATTGTTTAGGGAGAGGCATGCATATATCCTCAAATCAATGGGTAATCAAATGGTGCCTACTGCCGTAAAACTTGCAAGAAAAAAATGATCGAGGGCGACTCCTTATATGTGGAGAACGTAATTGGGGACGGCAATCAATTTACCATGTTCCGTGCAGGTGTTACTGCCTATGTGGACCTACTAGAAAAGTCATGTTCTTGTAGAGAATATGACTTGATCAAGATACCTTGTTCTCACGTGATGACTTCTTTGCGATCAAAGCATGACAATGAGTATGGTCTGAGCATTTATGAGTACTCTTCGCCTTTGTATAAAGTTGAATCATACCTCCTTGCATACTTAGATTCTATTAATGTTGTCCCTCTCGAGTCGAAATGGTGTGTGCCAGAAGAATTGCTTAATGTGAAGATTCTTCCGCCTCTTGTTGATACCAAGCTTGGAAGAAAACGAAAAAAATGTGTCAAAGGTGTAGGTGAGAATTTCAAAAGCAAGAGAAGGAACAAATGTTCAATTTACAAGAGAACCACATGTGTGAACAACAACAAATCTTAATTAAGCTTGGTTGAATTTGTTGATTGAATTTGTTTTTGTAACCAAGCTATTTTTTTTTTGGCTGCCAGCATTTTGGTCAATTTATTGTCAGCTATTATTGTAATTACTCATGATCTAATATAGATCAATCAAAAGATGACATACATTTTGCACACTGTTTATTAATGTTTATTATCAAGTCCAGTCATTGTGTATTAAGCTGTGTATTATTAATATATGAAAATTCATGGTATTCGTAATGTAATAATTTTTAATGCATGAATTAGAATATGATTAAAGAAGGAAGTGCTCTAAAAAAATCAAAATATTTTGTAATAAAATTGTGACTATTTTTAATGCACCAAATCAAACAATGCTTAAGAAATAATCTAAGTATAACTACCAAACGAATCCTTAAAGAATTGTAAAAAAAAAAACAGATGTTACCATTGAAAAAAGTAGCAATTTGAACTTTTTTTACCGTTGTAAAATTTGTATATCTAAATATTTATTGGTTATCAAATTATATAGACCGTTTATACAATCGATACATCTCTATGTCCGTGGTGTATGTATGACCAATGAGATTTACACTCGAACATTAGTAAGGTATATTCAGGTTTATATCTATGTTAAAGCATTGACGATACTTCACCTACTAGAATCTGACACTTTTATATAGACCAAAACTAGTAAAATTTAAAAAAGATAACAATAAATTAATAATAAATTATATTTTTGAAATTTATCCAATTAAATAAGTTTAAACAAGGCATATGATCATGTAAGAGTCCACATAAATTTGGTGTGGTGCATAGTGATGTACGAGGAAGAATTGTGGTTATACAATCAATATTCTTAGAACAATGTTTGAGAAAATATAAGTATGTTATGAGGATGTCACTTGTTCAACCACACATTATTGGTTGCCACCACAATTTCTGTGGGCTCATACATGATCACATGCTTATGCTGTAAAGATGTTGATTGTATAACCACACATAACTATTTCTCATTCATACTTGTGCTCTCTTCACACATTAGTTTGAAGATGTTGATTGTATAACTACAACTCTTTCTCATACATCATTTATCTCCACCCCCAATGTATGTGGACCCTTACATGACTTTTTAAAACTTATTTAATTGAATAAATTTAAATAATATTGTTTATTATTAGTTTATCATTCTCCCTTTTAAATTATACTAGCTACGGTCTATATTTAAGCGTCATATTCTAGTAGGTGTAGTATAGATCATTTTTGGATCATGATATCAACCCATATATACCTTATTAGTGTTGAAGTGTAGATGTCATTGGTACAATCTAAACCAAGCACATGAAAAAGTATCGACTGTCTTAATTATCTATATATTTTGACCAACAGTGACAATACTCAATTATCCAAATTTTACAACGGTAACTAAGTACAAATTACCACTTTTCAACGGTAAAATTTGTTTTTTTAGTGTATAAAAAGAAGGATTCATGAACTCTTCCGTCCTATTCTATTTTAAAATACTTAAACATATCTTTTTATTATGTCTCAAACATCTCAAACATCCAATGCAAAAAAGTCTTACGTTTGTTGTTGTGGTAATTTAGCTATGTTGAGGATGTCACACACCGATTCGAACTCAAGTCGATAATTCTTTAACTGTGCAATTGGTGCATGCTCTCTTTTTAAGTGGCTTGAAAATGATTCATCAATGAGAAACCCATCAAAATTGAGTCCGGGACTCAAGACATCAAATTTTCAAGGTGTTACCAAATTTCAAATATTAGAAAGGCTTCGAGACTCCGAAGAAAATAGGGATTTTCTATTGAGTTTAATTCAAAAAGGTCGAAGAGCAGAGGGATCACTTTAAAGGATTGCTAAAAGACACCGAAAGAGATAGGGATCAACTAAAACAAAAGTTGATATTGACTGAAGAAAAAGAGAAAGACCTAAAAATAATATTGTATGGTTTGTTGATAGTGGTTGCTTTTTGGAAATGTGTAACATGGATGCAGTAGTACAATCTTATATCTTTTACTCATGTAGTAGTACAGTCTATTAATAAAATGAAGTATTTTTGAAATTGGTAAGACAATGCATTATATATAGAATTTAAAGTTGATAACTAACAACAATATCCATCAAAACAAAAATAACATTTACATAATCCAACTGTCTTAAATATCACTTCAAAAACCAATTACTTCACCCACCAAAAACTAATAATCTTAAAAACCGTCTGTCTTAAAATCCACTTCAAAAACCAATTGTCTTAAAAAATCAATATCACAAATACCTTACTCATCACCATTTAGCTCACCATTGAGCTCCATAACAATACTCATCACGTCAACTTTATTTTCATCACTACCTTCTTTTCCCTCTTCTGCCAAGCCTTCATCTACCTTCTCTTCCCTCTTCTGCCAAGCCTTCATCTACCTTCTCTTCCAGCTTCTCCTCCTCTTCTTCTTCTTCTTCTTCTTCTTCTTCTTCTTCTTCTTCTTCTTCTTCTTCTTCTTCCTTCTCTTTGATCTTGTCACGCCCCGAGCCTACACCCTGGCGGGACTGGCACTCAAAACCATTGCTGGCCCTAAGCGAACCCTTGGCCTGACATTCTTACTCAGCGGAAGACTTTACTCAAGATAAATACTTTTAAAATAGTACACTGAACTGCTCAATAAATAACTGAGAATGTAATAAATAACATTCACTGCCAAAGTGGCAACTCAAGTCTCAACTTAACTGAAAAGGAAAAGTAAAGACTCATGAACTAACATCAACTAACTTTGTCTATGAAGCCTCTAAACTCTGAGGGATGTCGGGACAAGACCCCCGATCATCCTAACAACTGAAATAATCAAGCAATAAAACAAAACATAACCAAAGGGATCCTCCGAAAAGCAAGGAGGCTCACTAACTGAATCTAAGTGCTCAACTGGATCAACGATGTGCTGGATGCTGATCCTTACCTGTGTCTACATCATAAGAAGATGCAGGTCAAATGACATCAGTACATTAAATGTACGAATATGCGAAGGGAATGCTAAAACAAGACATAAGCTTGAAAGGAACTGAAGAACTTACCTGGCTCAACTTAACTCAACATAACTGAACTCTTTCAATACCCAACAGTTTAAAACAAGTGCAATATAAGGAAAAGTTATTTAAAACATGATCTCAACTCTGTGTGTATGCAAAGATACATATAACTCTGAAATGTATGTAAAAATATAATAAACTATGTATATAAGAATACAATTACTTCTATGAGAGTTTCTCTAATTGACAACCATCACTTAAGATCTATTGTGATGATATAATATTTTGCCTCACGCTGCCAGGGTCGTCCTATACCTTGCCGAGGGTATGGTACCTGAACTACTAAGTGGATCCACTAGTTTATGCTAAAAAGCACTAAAGGAATCATCTAAAAAGCATGACCCTTTTCTACCATAATGGCTACATGCTTTATGTGGGCTGTGAGTTGTCTGAACTCTCCCCCACATCGATGCTCAATACTACTCCCAAAATATAAGACTAGACCTTCTGTTTAAAAACATACTTCTTTCTGTGGTTTAAGACAATTGCTCAAAACTTAGCTCAAAGGCTATCTTGGAAATCAAAGTTTCCCTTCTTGCTTAATTTTGAAAACATTTACTCTTTTCTGAAAACTAGCTCAAAGGCTCTTTGGAAATCAAAGTTTCCTTACTTGTTTAAATGTGAAAACATTTTAAACTCTTTGGGAATACATAGTCCCCATATACTTTTGAAGAAATGAACTTCAACTTTACTCTTTACTGAACTAAAAACTCAAGTCTTAAAACAAAGTTAAATCATTTGTAAAAGACTTTTGGAAGACTCTATGAACTTCTCTTGACTTGGCTCTTAACTTCTCTTGACTTGACTCTTAACTGATCCTTGGATTGAATTATGGATTCAAGGATTGATATTTGTGATAGGAAAGATCTCATGATGTTTAGGAGTGTTTTTAGATAGTTAAACATGAGAAAAAAATCAAGAAATCATTGCCTGAAAGCTGGTCCACGACGCGGAGGTGTATTTAAATTTTTGGTCGCGAAAATAACTTTTGAGGCAGAATGGTCCGTGACCACTCCGTGACAAGAAGAACAAATTGTCAATTCTGAGGAACAGGTCCGCGTCGACGCAGACCTGATACCCAGATTCTGCCGACTTGTTCCTTCTTCGTTTTCTAACCCCAAATCGCCTAACTTTGATTCTTTTTCTCTAATTCTCTTTAGATTCAAATACCCAACATTTGTACACAAGAATCAAATCAAACACAACTCTAAAATCAACTTTAAACTCTTAAGAACTCCTCAATCTCATCCCAAATTCAAGAACGAAAGTAAATTCAAGAATACACATCAAGAACATTCAAACTTTCAACTTTTAGGACGAATTCAGGCTGAATTAAACATGTTTGGCGCGTGGGTGAACGAATCCAACACTGTGTGAACTCACTTACCTCGTAGGATTGAATCCTTGGCGAAATCCACTATCAAACTTGAACGTTCTTGGCGAATCTTGCCATTTCTCCTTCTTTCTCCTTTCTCCAAGCCCTAACATAGATTTCTAATTTTCTAAATTGACCAAATTCATTTTTGACCCTTAATTAATTCACCAAAACGAATTAAAATTAATTTGGTAAGGAAAAGACCAAACTACCCTTTCCAAATCCGGATTGGACTTTCCTTATTTGAACAACCCAACTTCGAATGGGTATATTTCACTCAAATCGTGCAAACTCGGCGGCATTGAAAAGATTATTCCAAGATCTTTCCTCAGATATCTGGAAACACACCTAACTCATCCTGAGCTAGAAGTTATGGTTGTTTGAAGTTGACCAAAAATCCAACTTAACATACTAATTAAAATTTTTGAAATTTTATATTCTTTCCAAAAATGACTATTTCCACTTTTTAACTTATTTCTAGATCTTTTTAGTTACGGGGTGTTACAATATATCCTCCTTGGGAACATTCATTATCGAATGAGCTTACT